TCCAATATCAAGACTAGTAGAATTAACAGAATTATCAATTGATTGTCCGAAAATCAAAAGTTTTGAAGCTTCAAAAAACTCTTGGTTTGGTAAATCTATTGGGTTTGATAGATCTACGGGAGAATCTGGTAAATCTTTGTCTGCTGGGTTTATATGAATTAATTTTGATGGATCTATGGATTCTGAGAGTTTATGAGAGGATTGTAGTGTCTTGGTTGCTTGAGGCAGATCTATGGATAGATCTAAAGGTTCTTGTGTAGAATCTGTTTGAGATAAGTCTATGACTTTTGGCTTATTTTGACTTGGATTTATGGGATCTAAAGTAGAACCCTGAGATTTTGACATAGAGGATGCAGGTTTTGGGATGTTTTGAACTGATTTTTTGAGTTTTGGTGCAGACTCTTTAGTTGTTTGAGATTCATACCAGACAAAGAAATGAATATTTTGCTTTGTTTTTGTTAAAAAGTCATAAAAGTTTTCTTGTATATTTTTTCGGGCTTCTCCCTGGTATTTATCAAAAAATTGTTTTCTTTTAAAATGATTGTGGTTTGCAAAGAATTCAGATCTAATGTGTTGTTCATTAATCTGGAATTTAGAAGGTTTGTTTTCTAGTTTTCTTTGAATAAGAATTGACTGCTCAATTTGAGCAATTCTAGTTTGAAGATCATTTAAAGGTTTGTTGTTTAAAGAAGAACTAGAAGAAATAAAGTATGTTTTAACTAGAGAAGTCATTGGAAAATAAAACAAGAAAATAAAATAAACAAATATTCAAATAATTTAAAAACTTATAATCCCCAAAATAAAATAAACAAATATTCAAATAATTTAAAAACTTATAATCCCCTTCCCTTTGGCACAGAATCCTTTGGGATCCATGGAGGATAAACTATTTTTCTTAATCAGATTATAAAGGATAGTGTGAAACCTACAAGAAAAGATCTAACCTTTTGAGAAGAATTAACTATACATGACGACCATATTTTCATCATAATAAAGATAGTAAAATAAACCTACAAGAATAGATCTAAATCTTTTGAGAAAGATTAACTATGCATGACGACCATATTTCCAAACAAAATCATAAGATTGATAGTAAAAACCCATTTTCCCTGGATATGATCTTGTGATACTTCCCTGTCCTAGAGCATCACACCCTAAGAACCTCAACGCCCCTACAGAGCCAAATTCCTCATGGTCTTACCTGGACCGGACGTTGGCACTTACTGGATCCATGTCATTCAATCAGATCCAAAGTCATGAAATCAAAACTATCAAAATTATAATAAGCTTGAATAGATAGTAATCACGAAGTTAACCAGTCTCATCCAATTAGATCTAAACTTGTAGATCTACACTATCAGTAGCATAAGTAAAGAAAGATGGTAAACACAAAGTTAATAAATCTCATCAGGAAGATATAAACTTGTAGATCTACGCTAACAACATCATAATAAGTAAAGAAAGATAGCCATCACCCCACTTCCCCCTCTGGCTCTGATACCAGACGGGACGAGGGTTAGCCCCTTAAACCAGGAACAAGTAAAGAATTAAGAGAAGGAAAGCATAAAAGTTAAGAAGTGGGTCGCAGCCGGACTGCCACTTAGTTAGTAAAGAATTAAATGGAACTAAATGGATTGGATAAATTTCATCCACCATCCATTAAGTCAAAACCAATTATGAACCATTTATCCATATTGTCACTTCTAGTTTTCCCCCTAAACTCTCTCATTCGTGGTTTTGTGGTACAAGACTTGTAGAAAATCCCTTGCCAATACTGGAGAAGATGGAACATCTTTCGATTCTCATATTGGATGATGCTTATGTAGGAGAAGAATTAGTAATTTCTGGAAACGGATTTAAGAATTTGTATCTCAACTTAGAAGTGGGACTCCAAGTCCTTAAATAGGAAAAACATAACCATGAATTTTACTCTTATCATAATATTAAAACATGACTCAACTCTAAATCAACTGTGCTATCAAATATAATATAGGTATCAAATAATAAATCAATTTCTAAAACTATTAAAATTTTAAATATGTTTGGTTTAAAATATGTCAATAGAAAAACTGCTGTGTATGTTCATGCACGGCCGATTGATTGTTTGAGTAAAACATTTCTTTTTCTTTTTTAATCTGCAGAGATGCATTCTATGGCTTCTCTTACTATTAGAATTAATTTGTTTATTGATTTTCATTTTAAATTTATCTTTAAAGGATTATGATCCTAAAATTTTAAATTTTTATTAATAAAAAATTCACAAAAATAATTAAGTTAATCATAATGAAGAACTTATTCAAGAAGACTTCCAAATTTTAGTCTTTAAGAAGATGGGATTTCTTAAGTGGTGACTTCTTATTAGAGATATACAATACAATTATTTAGGTAACAAAATAAAAATCGATTAAAGATGTTTATAAATTTATAACATATATTACACCGATCAATATTATAAATTTATTTTTCTTAATGTGTAAAACATAGAAGAATTGAAGGGACAAGTATGAAAATGAAAACAAATAGATAGTTCAACTGAAAGAATCACAAAAAATAATAATAAGATAATAGGATAACATGCACAAAGATAAATCATAAAAGAAAGGATAACAAAACCATTTAAAAAAAAAAAAACAATTCTCCATTGCACTTGCTAAGCTAAGGGAAAAAAACGAGGTAAACAGGTCAAAGGCCCATTTTGCACGTGGTGGACCAGATAAAAAATCCTTGAAATAATATTGCAAACCCATTCTGGGCCGGAGGATCCATAAGCCGACATCCTGATTTTTTTGGGCTCAGTAAAGAAAGAGGTTTTTCAGGTAAATGGGTTTTCTAGCTCTTGACCAGAAAAGGGCTAGAGCGATTGGCTTTATAGTTGAATTGCGTGGGTTGGGTTTGGTTTCAAAACATTCAATTCAAGAGTTAGGTATGTCAACTTTTTAGCGTACAATTATTTGTTAAATGAATAGGATTTAAAACTCGAAACCCAAGTATATAAAGTTCTGTGGTTAAAACAATTTATTAATTGGGGTATTGTTTAAATAATTTTAAACAATAGGTGATCAAAATGCAAATCATTCAATATGTTTTTTGTTCTCTAAGAGATTGCCCCTTTATAACTTGATTTACACTTTGGTTCCAAAATTTCAAAGTGGAATTCTTTAATCACTTAAGAAAAATTCATCTCATTTTAGTCCCTAAAGTATAAAGTCTATCCCAATTAAGTATAATATCTATTACACTTTAACGATCAAAATATAGAAGAAGTAAAGGAGAGTTTATGCTTTAGGTTAGGGACTAAAATAGGACATGTTTTACTTAAAGTGAAATAGATTTTATACTTTAGTTACTAAAATGTTCAGGAATCAAAACAAGAATTTAGGTATATTTTAGTTTATACTTTAGTTACTAAAGTATAAAGTCTATTCCAATTAAGTATAAAGTCTATTACACTTTAAGGATCAAAATATACAAGAAGTAAAGAAGAGTTTATGCTTTAGGGACTAAAATAGATCAAGTTTTTCTTAAGTGGGATAAATTTTATACTTTTAAGTACTAAAATATTCAGGAATCAAAATGAGAATTGAGGTATAATTAAAGGGTGCAAAGTGAAATTGACCTTTAGTTTAAGTATAGCACTTTCTTCAATATATTAGTGTTGAAGATTTAGTCATGGACACACACAAGAAATTGAATGGATTTCAAAATATTAACGCCAAGAAAACTTTGAATTTCGACCAAGTCCGAGCTAACAGTTAGCTTTGCGCAACCTTGGATAATTTGATAATAACTTGGCGTAGAGAACTCAAAATTGACGAATGAATTTCCGTCGTTATATCTCTATGGTTTAAACATTGGCGAATGAATTTCTAAAATATTTGTCTACTGAAATGTTCGTAACTAGTACATTAGCTTTACCCTCTACTCCACTCAGTTTATTACTTTTAGAGGATAATAATACTTGTTTATCTATTCATTACCTTTTTTTCACACACTAATTCACATGTGAGCTGGTTCTGCATGACAGATTTTACTGTCAAGACTAACATAGTTAACAGGTACATTAAGATTCAGTTCTATCGTTAATTATCTTGCAACCCTTATGCCAATGTACTGCAAAGGAATTCTTTGAAATCTTTCAAGGCATTGTGATTAGTGACACTGCAATAGATTTCATCACCAATAATGTGGAGTGTTGATGAGGCCAGGCTTCCACTCTGACCCACAAAAGGAAAAGCAGAGGCAAATGACTAAAACTTGACTTAAATGTTGAGGTAGGAATTCTTTGCTCATGTTCTTTTTTCCACTATAAAGATAACTTGTTCGTGTTCAGTTGAAGATTCTTATCTTCACAAACTATTAGGAGAAAGCTGAAAGTTTAACAGAAAGACAAAGAAACGAATTTTATATATGGTATTAAAGAAGCTCGCACTCCAGGTTAAGAGAGAATTGAATTCTGGGCTGCTTTACGATTCTTAAAAGAGAAGGGTAAAAAATTTGGACTAAAGAAACTGTATAAGCTATTGTTGTTCGGACCTGGAAACATGGCATAAAGTTGACTGTAGCCTTTTGCGTTCCAAATAATTTTTTATATGGCACTCTCCTAAAACAAGCAATCTGCCCTTCTTTTTTCTGTTTTTTGAGAATTTCCCACATCTCACAACTTGATTAATGTAAATCCATTTAAATCAAAACCTGCTTTCTGTTGACTGGAGTCGTTGCTCTTCCAAGATCAGTTAAAACGACACCGAACCAGGAGGCTGGAGACTTGGAATCATCCTTTACGCACAAACTGAATGTAGATATCTTGTAAATTTATTGGCAAGTTTTATGAGTGACGCATTCTCTTTAGTGGCCCAGAATCTCAATGAAATCAGGAAATCAAGTTTAAGAAAGAAAAAGAAACTAACAATCAAGAAAAAGGCAGAAGATTGAGATAGGAATCTTACACCTTTTTTTTCCCCTCTATAAAGGTAACTTGGCTATGTTGTGTTGAAAATATGCTAAAGGTAACTTGTTATCGTGAAATCCCCTACCCAGTGCTTGAAAAGCAGAGTTAAAGAACATATGCTTGGAATCATCTTTTAAGTACAAACTGAATATATAGATTTCTTGTAAAGTCATTGATTCCTTACCTACCGACAAGATATACGGTCTTTGCAGTAGCCACTTCTGCTTTATAAAAATGTGTAGAAAAACAGATGCAGATATTAATCTGGCTTTGCAACTGCACTTGAAAGAGAAGAGCCTCTCCTCCATTTCTGGTTCTTGCTCTTTTATTGAGAAGCAAAGCCCTCTTAGATTCGATGGCTGACACTATTGTCTCTCTTGTTATTGAGAGAACTGGCGATCTGCTGATTCAAAAAATTGTTTTCCTGAAAGATGTTCGACAACAAGTTGAAAGACTCAAAAATGATCTGGTCCGGATGCGGTGTTTCCTGAAAGATGCTGATCAGAGGCAAGATGAAGATGAGAGAATCCGCAACTGGGTTTCTGAAATCAGAGCTGCGGCCTACGATGCGGAGGATGTCATTGAGATCTTCGCCAGCAAAGTTGAGTTCTTCACAAAGGACAAGGGACTCATCACCAAATTGACGTATTATCCCTTGAAAATTGTGAGCCTCTACAAGATAGGCAAAGATATTGAGTCCTTACAGATGAGGCTCAATGACATAGCTGATAGCCGTGAAAAATACGGTATAAAAAATCTAGGAGAGGGAACAAGTACACATGGAGAAGAGCTTCAACGGCTCCGACGATCCTCTCCAATTAGTGAGGACAAGGATATTGTGGGCTTCGAGAAGATGGCAAAATCCCTGGTGGCAGAACTCTTGAAAGAGAACAAAAGCCGCCGTGTGGTTTCAATCGTCGGCATGGGAGGTGCTGGTAAGACAACTCTAGCCAAAAAGGTTTATAACTATGCTGATATCAGGGCAAGATTCAATTGCCGTGCTTGGGTCTGCGTCTCTTCAAGCTACGACCACAAAGAGATGCTGAGAACAATCATAAAGCAACTGAATCCGATAACTAAAGAGCTACTTGAATTGTTGGAAAAGATGCAGGAGCAGGACTTGGAAGAAAGGCTGTATAAAGATCTACAAGACAAATGTTATCTTGTGGTGCTTGATGATGTATGGGAGGTAGCAGCGTGGGATTGTCTTGCCAGGAGGGCCTTTCCTGATGTTGGCACATCAAGTAGAGTGCTACTTACAAGTCGCAAACGGGATGTTGCCCAACACGCTGATGCTTATAGACACCCGTATGAGTTGAAAACTTTGGGGCAGGAAGACAGCTGGCAGTTGTTCCTCAAAAAGGCCTTAGGCCATGGAGCTAATGCTGGGTGTCCTCCGGATATGGAAGAAGTAGGCAGAGAGATTGCCAGAAGATGTGGTGGTCTGCCGCTGGCCATCACGGTTATAGGTGGCCTGCTACTGGCAAAGAAAAAGTTGAAGACCGAATGGGAGGAAGTTCTAAACAACTTTAGCGCACACCTATCAAGGAGCCGGAGCGAAGCAGGGGCAATTAGTGAAGCAGGGGCAATTCTGGAGTTAAGTTATGCAGACCTCCCTGCCAATCAGAAATTTTGCTTTTTGTATTTGGGTTTGTTTCCCGAAGACTCCGTGATTTCTGTGCGCAAGTTGATCCATCTGTGGGTTGCAGAGGGAATAATGCAGAAAAGAGATGCAAAAAATTTGGAGGAAACTGCAGCATATGATGAAGTGGAACGACTTTGTAGCAGAAATATGGTCCAAGTGGCGGAAATGACTGTTGATGAGAGGATTAAAAGCTGTAGAGTCCATGATTTGCTGCGAGACCTTGCAATCAGGAAGGCAGAGGATGAAAATTTTTTTCAGATCCATGGCACCAGAGATGATGAAATATCAGCCAAATCCAGGTACCTTGCTGTTCATAGTCTCCCTCTGGATAAAAATTATTTTGGGTCTTCGAACCCTCCTCTCCGGTCTCTGCTTTTTTCCAATGTCCGCGGTTACATGGGAAACATTAGTCTTAGCGCCAAAAGTTTAAGAAAGCTCAGGATATTAGACCTTGAGAATGTTCAGAAGGATGATGATTTGCCAAAAGAAATTGGTGAGGTCAGGCTTCTAAGATACCTCAATTCTAAGATACATTCCAAGGCTCCCTCTTTCCGTCGGTTGCTTGCGATACCTACAAACTCTTGACATATGGAGCTTTGATTGGCCAGTGAGAGTTTCAAATTTCATTTGGAAGCTTGAAAGTTTACGGCATCTATATGCGAATGAGATGGAATGTGATGTGCCTCTTAAGATTGAAGGATTGAGGAATCTCCAGACTCTGTCACGCATACGCTTTGAGGACGTTATGCACAATAACATGATAACTCTGACAAGTCTTCCGAAACTGGGGATTTGGGTGGATGACAGGTCAGAGATAGACAAACTCTGCATGCATTTATCTGAGATTGGAAGCCTAAAGACGTTACATCTTTATCGTACTGGAGGAAGCGAGTGGCCATCTCTAGCTGGACTTTCTACGCTCCATCATGTAACAGAGCTTAAGCTCTGTGGTTTACCATTCGAGCTATTCAATTGGACAATGCTGCCTCCTGATTTCCCTCCAAATCTCTCTCGCTTGTCTTTGAAAAACACACTCCTCAAGGATGATCCAATGCCAGTACTGGAGAAGTTGGGACAGCTGTCGTTCCTCAAACTGGAATCTGCGTATTGGGTACCACAGCATATGATCATTTCTAGGCAGGGGTTTCACCAATTGAAATTCCTTGAGCTCAACCGCCTATCTGATTTGGAGGAAATGAATGTGGAGAAAGGTGCATTACCACAGCTCCGGTGCCTGGGAATCGGGATGTGCTACAGATTACGGAAGTTGCCGGAAGAGCTGAAGCACATATCTACTCTTGATACGCTTGAGCTTGTGGACATGCCAAAAGATTTCATCAGTGGGCTTGATGCGAACCTGGTATCCAGTGTCCCTAACCTCAGAATATTTGACTTGCCGGAAGGAAGAATGGAATAATTATTTCAAGTTTTTATCAAAATGCATAAATAAAAAGAATAAAATGTTTCCGTATTTGTTTTCCCCAATTCACAAGCTTTTTAAGTCCTTTTTTTTTTATTATTGAAATCTCACACTTCAATGCTTGCTTTTTTAATTGTCCCACTATTATTAAACAAGGAATGACTCTTTTGTTGTTAATGATATCTTCTAGGATTTGTCTCTCTATAAATTTACATTGCGTATATCATATTAATACAAGTAGTAATTAAAAAAAACAAAAACAAAACAGTTCAAGTCTTCGGTGGGCCTCAAAATTCCTGATATTAAAATCTTGGGATTTGTAAATCTCGAAATCAATAAAAACATCTAGAGGTATTTGGTTGATTGATTCTAATTTTTCCCCAAACTGAAAAAAAGAGAATAAGGAAATAAAAGGCCCTATTCGTGTACTGGAAGAGAAAAAAAGAATGAAGTTGGCAAACAAATCTAAAGTTAGAATTGATTGGAATTCATCGCACGTAAAGTGTAACTGACCAAAAGAGGAGACTTTAATGTACCTTTCCTTTGAAAATTTCACCTTTTCTTTTCGACTTTTTTTTTTTTGGGGGGGAAACTTGGATATAAGTTCTCTATGAATATAAGATGTTAAAAATAAAAAATAAAAAAAAAAACTAAATTGGTCAATTTTGAGTTGTAAATGGATACCTCACTAAACTTGGTCTTGAACCATGATTTGAAAAAAAAAAATTTATTTACTTGCACCACAAATACAATTTCTATCATACCTTTTCATTTTCTTAATCACTTTTTTATCTTACATATATCACATCATAAAAAGTATTATAGTAATTATTTCAAATCTGTGTACTTTTACCTTTATACTCTCATTTATTTATTCTCTCTACTAAGCGGTCCCTGCTTCGCCTTATATTGTACCATTGTTTAAATTTCCGTGCAGTGATTGAAAAAATTAGTTCCAGTTTTTATCAAAATATATAAATAAAAGGAATCTTCCTGATTCAACATCCTTAGTTTGTCATTATTTTAATCTTTATTTCGCCATATAATTCAGACCAACTGACAAGCTTTTTTAAGTACTCAAAATTTTTTTTTTTTTTTAAGTTTGGGTAACTGACATTTACACCTATGTCTTAAAGGATTTGTGTCTCTATCAATTTACATACCTGATAGTAAACCCTTGGGATTTGGAAATTTTTAAACTCTTGATTGATCATAATTTTTCCCATTCTATCAAAACAGAAAAAGGGAATAAGAAACAAAAGCCTCTGTTCAGGTACTAGAAGAGAAGAAAATAACGAATTTAACAAATAAATCAAGGAATTCATCCCATATAAAGTGTTGGTCCATCTGAAATTGAGGATTGATTGCTTCCTATATCTACTCACTATACACAAGAGAGCAGTAGTAAAAGAAAGAAAACAAATTTAAACATGCGAAAAGCAAATAACAAGCTGTTCAACGAAGTTATTTGGGATAATAAATGTTCAAGGGGAAAATATTAGTGAAGGGAAAATTTCTGAATACGGGCACAAGTGCAGTCTATTTATTATGAAATGCATTTATAATAATTTTTTGTGATTACATAACATGTACTGCCTTGAAGGAAATTTATACGAGTTTGGCACTTCCTCTGAATTCTTCGTGATTACATAACATGCATTGCCTTGAAGGAAATGTATATACTTCACGAAAAAGCCAAGCATAATTTTTCTTATAAATAAATTTTTATTTATTTTTTTGTGAATTACTGGAATGAAAAGAACATTATAAAAAGAAGGGTTAAGCACAAAAACTCCCCTTAGAATTTGGTCAAAGTTTTTTTTTTTTAAGAATTTGGTCAATGTTGTACTTACATCTAAAGTTTATTTCTTCTCACTTTACCTTCCATTTCAGTCTAACCCATCAAGTTAACTGTGAAAATAGTTGAGTTGATGAAAATGCCCTTTTACATGGTTTAGAAGGAAAGACCTTAAGATTTTTGGATGTTGAAGTTACAAGACATGATTTTTACCATACAATAATTTTTTTTATCTTTAGGATAAAATAAAGTGGCATATTAATAATTTTTTCTGTCCAATATTTATCATGCATGTAATTAATTTAAGTGGAGAGACCCTGAATTTTGTGAAAAGGAAGAAAATTATATGTTGTATGATCATTGAAATGCCTAATCAAATCTTTTTTCTACCTTCAATCAGATGACTGGATAAATTATTGAAAAAATTGACCATAAGTATGCAAATATTTTTTTTAAAACAATATTTTCAACTTCAAGTCAAGATATATAGCTCATGTTTTGAAAAAAAAAAAGGATTCCAAACATGAATATGAATGATATCTCATATATCTAGAGCCTCTCGTGTTACACTAACATAAGGTGTAGCCCTGAATCTCAATGCAGAGCAGGGCAATCAAGTTGAAGAAGGAAAAAATGCGCAAAAATGGAGAAAATGATAGCGCTTCTTGCCATTTTGCTCCATGTTATTTATAGCAGTATTTTTATCATATTCAATTAAGGAAAAAGGAATGTTCGCTGAAATTGAACTAAACATCAGTTATAAATAGTTTGAAGTAGATTGGTGTATATTTACTTATTCACGTAGTAATGACATTAATGTATTATAACAGGAAACCTAGGACAAAAGTATCATTGGATTTCATCATTATCATTAGTTCATTACTATATAAAATGTATGAATCTTGGTATTAGAGAATGTAAGCATTTTTTTGTCTTAGTTTTTGTTATTTCCAAATTAACCTTTTGTTTTTTAATTAAATTATTGCATTTCAATGTGGCACTAATTAAAAGAAATAAAACACTCCAATTAATTACATTTCAATAGTATTGGTGATTATAATTAAAAATTGCTCATTAAAAACTACTTACCTACCCTTGGACTCCATCTCCAATTATTATACTTGTATCAAAATTTCTTAATCAAAGTATGAAAATTTTCTCATTAGTCATTAGTTGAGATTGTACAAAAAAAAAAAAAAAATCAATGTAAAAAAGTAGATACTCTCTAAAAAAAAAAAAGAGAGAAATATACAAGAAGAAGAAAGCCCTTATTGATCTATATATCTTTATACAAATATCACAAGCAAATTTCCCAATTATGCACATTTAACCAATGAGATAATATTAGAAACCTCCCTTGAGGTTTCTCCAATATTACTTGGAACCCCTGAGGTTTTAGAAATATCACTTACCTTCTTTACTTTTGTTATTTGTGCAAAAAAAATTTAAAAACCCTAAACTGAGGGTTCATTACTTCCTATAAACTACTCAAAACACAAAGATGTAAAACAAAAGAAAAAAAACTCAAATGTGCGAAAAGGAAATAACAAACTGTCCATCTTCCTGCTTGCTCGCTTTGCAACACAAAAAGGAATCATCTACAAAGAACAAGGGACCATGGAGCTATCTTTACAAAATTTTATGCTAGTGATTTCTTTTGGTTCCACAGCTTTCTTGAGTAAATTAGATAGCCCTTCAGCACAGATAATGAACAAATATGGAGACAGAGGGTCATCTTGATGTAGCCCTCTAGTAAGAGTGACATGTCCTACTTTTTGTCCATTTAGGTTAAAAGAATAAGAAATAGTGGAAAAGAAAACCATGATCCATTTAACAAAAATGGGACAGAATCCCATATGCATCATCATCAATCTCCCTGGAAATTTTCATTCCACCTTATCTTCGCTTTAGACATGTCAAACTTTAGGGTCATGAAGCCTATTTTGCCTCATCTCTTATTTGTCAGGAAATGTAAATTTTCATGAGCAATTATAACGTTATCCAAAAGCTGTCTCCCCAGGATAAAATCAGATTGAAAGGAATCTGATTTTATATCACCATGCAACCCAAATTAATGCTGTGAGCATCTTGAAAACTGTTAGAAATGTATTGAAAACAAAGATGTGGATTTTCAAACTTGTTGAATTGATTTTCAAAGGTAAAAGAACTAAGCTTTGACATTAGAAATATTTTGATTTTCAGTAGGGTAATTTGGTGCAATTCACTACCAAATATATATACAATTTAAGCAAAGAGTAGATATTACCATAAAAAAATATGCATCATCAAAGCAACAAACATGTATTTTATTATTTACACAGTTTTATTTGCTTGTATCATAAACACATTTTTAATCACTTTTTTTTATCTCACATGTATCACATTATAAAAGTGCTATAGTATTTTTTTTTAAAATTATCCTAAGTAATCTCCTATCCAAACACACTCAAATTGTTCAATTGAAATTCATCACACCAACCTATTCTACAAGGCTGAAGTGCTGTCACATGTTAACACTTGGTATCTATGCATCTGCAATATGCATAGTGTATTTCCATACAAGAAGTATATTCAATATTACATTCAAGTGCTTTGCAACTGTATCCACTTCATATTGTATCTCCATAAGACATTAAGATGTGCTTAACTAAATCAACAGCAGAAAAGCAACTTTGTTTAACTATGCAAAGTTGAAGTCAACAAATGTTCCCAAATTATTCACAACTGAAATTATATCAAGGAATCCTTTAAGCAGTAGAAAGAAGTAAAAAAAAAAAACAGTTTTAAAGTCTAAATTCTTGAAGGTAATGCCCTAAAAGATAGCAACATGCCATGAACAACACCAAAAAACCAGGGCTAAGGCATTTAAATTTATATTTCTCCATCTTTGAAGTATTTAACGTGAGAAATGCCATTATGCAACCAGGCCAATTCAGAACACAACCAAGCTAATTGTAAGGAATGCCATTACAAATTCCAATATGAGAAATGCCATTATCTAAGAATTGGCAGGGCAAGATTCTAAGCTTCAGTACACAACCAGGCTAATTCAAATCATGAATCAGTAGCATGCATAGCAGCTGATCGGCACAAAAACTCAGTTCAATTCTTCGGAAAAAAAAAAAGAAGAGTCAAACTTCCATCAAGTTAGTCAATGGCAAAATGTGCAAATTTTCTATTATGCAAGGCAAAAACATTCCTCTTGCTCAGATCTCATCGTCGGGTAGAGCAGTTTGGAGCTTGGTTCAAACTATGCACCTTCAGAAT